AGAGGAAGAAGCTTATTGTTTTCAAAGTCCTGCAACCTGGACCTTGTTGCAGACCTGACCTTTGGAGCTGGAGCTGCAGAATGGGTGGATTGTGCTCTGACCTCTTCATAGTCTTTGGGACCATTGCTGGTCTTGGTTCTTTCTGTCTGTGTCTATCTTGCAGTGGGGAACCAAAAACTGAACAAGTTAAATCCAGCATCTTGTAGGTATAAGTGTTAAGGGAGGGGATTTTTTTTTAATAAGTTAGAAGAGAAAAAGCTTGGAGAACATTTACGTGGATCTGCACCCCTGGGTCAGTGGTGGTGCAGTTTATCTGAAACTCACCTTTAATTATACTTCTGTGTCTGATCCATGCACAGATGGTCATTCTTCATGGCTGCAGATCGACACTTCAAAAAAAAAATCTTTGGTCAATCAGATCTCAGTATTTGAAGTGTTTTGTGAATCATGTGGACAAGGGAGGGGAGGGCAAGAAATGGTCTCTCTACTTCAAACCCTCGTCTTTCATGCTCTTTGCTTCTAGCATAATCTGCAGGCATTTTTATGTTGGTGTTTTTCTACACCTGATGTGATCATAAATGCTAGATTTTATCCTCTGCACTGGCATTTCCAAAACTGAAGCAACGAAGAGATGCTGCAAAAGAGTTGGAAAGTAGCAAGGACTGTGGCTTACAGTTAAGGCAGATGTGATTGCAACATCTGTGCCTAGGAAAGCTGCAGTCTGATCTGCCTTCTGTCTTCAGGATTTCTGGGATTCCAGAAGCAGAAGTGGTGCAGATAAGACATGTCCTCTGAGGTTTTGTAAAGCTTCTGCTCGGATTGTAAAGCTCTTCTGTATTAGGCCCATGAGAAACACATCTCCTCTAGTGCAGCCAAATGGGTATCATTGTTTAATACTTCTCCTTGGGCTCTCCAGTGGTAACTCTGCTCCATGGTGGTATTTGTGAAGAAGAGCCTCTGTGGTTGCTTCTGTGTGTTGACTAGCTGAGCATATTACTGTGTGTGGTAATTTCTGACTTGGAAGCTGTGATGCGATCTGGAAGAGCTGTTTATAGAGGGTTTTCCACCTTTTTCCTTAAATTGGACTCTCTGGGCCTAAAACTTGGAACTTCCAACTTGAAATCTCGATTAGAACAGACTAGTAAATAGGAAGAAAAGCCCCAAAGCCTTGGCATCAGACAAGTGAAAATTCATTTTCTTTAATGATTCTCCTCTTTTCCAGCTGTGTTCTTGCAAAATGGGTCTTTGCCCTTGGTTTATTCTCAGCGCATCAACCCTGTTGGTTTCTGGGTGGCATGAAATTCTGCATATTCCTCTCTGGGTTATTAAGAAAGCCCTGCCCTTTTCCCTGATCTCCGAGCAGCAGTCGGGTTTCTACTTCCTGATTTCAGGACTGTCCTGCTCACGCTGGGGGCTCCCTGCTCGCTGTGCTTTGCTTTTGCTGTTGTCTCTTCTGAAGGCTGTGCCAGGTGAGTTGTGCTCTCTGTTCTTTCCCCTTTAAGGTGAGCTCCTCTGGCCCAATGTGCAGCTGGTGGGAAGAGGGAAGCTGGTGGCCTTCCTCTGCTCCAGCTGCGCCTTTTTGAAGGGACTCCACTTAAGGCAGTGCACAGCTGGCAAAGCAGGTATGATCCGTGAGAGTTCATCAGCAAACACTTCAGAAATGGAAAGATAACACTGCTCCAAGTTCATAAATGTGTTCTGCAGGAGAAGCAGTAAGTAAGTGGTTTGCATTATTTCCTTCCTGTGTAATCTTTATGTTGACGTCATCATAACAATGCCTGACAAATTAATGTGGTATTCTCTCAGTGATGTTAAAAATTTGATTACCTGAATATCGATGCTGTTCAGTGCTTAGAACTATTTGAAGAGTTTTATTCTTCACTGGATTATTATATGCTGTGTTGGAAGTTGAACAGTATATTTCACTGCAGAAATATACACTGCATTTTATCCTAAAATAAGTTCTTAATGGTCTGGATGTATTAATACTCATTTTCAAAGTTTACATTTTTAAATGTTAGTTATTAAATTCTGCTCAAGATGTAAACTCTATTCTGTCTTCTAGCGTTAATTATACAAGTTTGAAATTCTCAGTTTCATTTCAAGGTAGGGCTTTTTATTTGTATGTAGCTGTTGAAATAAATTACCAGTACAAGAAAACATTCTACTAATAAACGAGGGATGCCTGGAGTTGGCTCTGCTAACTGAGACAATTTAATTCATCCATCATCAGGGATGATGTTTCTTAGCAACACAAAGTATTTTCACCCGGGGCGCTTTCACAAACTTTCACATTTTTCTTCAAATACAGCCTTGGTAGTGTTTTATATGACCTGAAGTTCGTCCATCTGTCCTGAAGCTCCCAATACTTTTCCATTTTCTCCAGTGATCAAATGATCCGGTATATGTTTTTCTTTTTTTTCAGGTTAATAATACACAAGTTGACTAGAGAATCATTTCGCATGTCAGATTTTCCAAAGGGGTTCTGGGAAATTATTTGTTGCTCTGTATAGCAAAGCTAAAAGTTATTGAAAATGTGTTACAGTTTCATAATAAAACAGATCCGAAAAATATTGGCTTGGGAGCCAACTAAATGCTTTCTGATAGCCATAGCCTCAAGGGGGATACTTGGATCATTTGTAATAAAGGGATATCTTTGATATCTTTTGGTGAATTGACTAGTATTCTGTTTAGATCATAATTTATGAAAAAAAAACCTGTCTTGGTACTCGATGCTATATTATCAAGTTGTTTGGGTGTAAGAATTGCCTTAATGTATGGCCAGAATTTTCCATGTTTATTCTTTTAATGTGCTGTATGAAATCAGAAGCTGTTGATCCATTAAGACTCTCCTCCTTGCTTTCCATTTTTTTAAACGCATGTGGGGATGATTTGATCAGTGTAATTACAGCCTGGAATTGCTGGGGAAACTTGGCTTGCTCAAGAAACCCCTTCAGGTATGTAACAGGTGTTATCCAGTATGGAGAGCAAATATCTTCCAAGTGCAATGTGTTATTTTGCTTTGAGAAATAAAATGTCTTTAATTCTTGGTAAACCTCTCTGAAGACTTCTGTTATGTGATTAAACTTCAGCTTCTATCTTGAGAAGAAAAGTTTTAGGATGAAAGCTTCTCTATCAGCAGTGTGTAGTGATAAGTGTTTGAAAAATGTTGTGGTGAGGTAACTGCTACTTGGCTTATTTCACAGCAGAGGTGTACAGAAACCATTTTAAACAGTGGGAAAACAAAGTACAGAAATACTGGTTTGATTCTTCCTCTTGGTTAAAAAATGCTGTGTTGCAGCTCATGTCAGCTTTAATGTGCTGAGTTTTCATATCAGCATGTAAAGTTTTTGTACATTTATACAGAAAACAAATTGGAAGAGTTGGGATGCTGTTATAGAAGGTTTTACTGCTGGTGTTTTAGGCTATATTAATGCACAGGAGAGTATTTAGGGCCCTGAGATTTGCCAGCAAGGTCTGTGCTCGCTTTATCATTGAACTGGATGCTTTCCTGTAAGGATTACACCTCCTAAGTGACCTTGCTGGCAATTCCTGTGTGATTCCAAACTAAATGGCCCTGGATTTCTAGACGGTGTTTGTAATTCTGAGACACTTAATTGCATCTCTGAGCTTGGACATCTTGTTTCAGGTGATCTTTATTGCAGTGCTCGTGTTTCATACTCTGTTGTTCGTGTCCAGCATCTTGTGAGATCTCCGGGTGTTCCCCGGAGTCCTTTGAGGAACTGGCTTAAGTTGGAAGCTTGATCTGTTATCCCACAGCAAGCAGTACGTGAAGAAAGAAGGAAAGAACACTTTAGCAAAGGGCTTTGCTAGCAAAACCTTTGAAAGTCTTTGAAAACAGCAGCAGTCGCTTGTATCCTGTAAGTTGGAACTCTGGCAGCTTGGGGAAAGGTCAGGGCTCTGTCTGCTCCTGCAAGGCTTTGTTGTGTGTGGTGACAGACGGCGTTTCCACCTCTGCATTCTCATCCTCAGACATCTGGGAAGCTCCGGAATCAGTTGTAGGCTCTCCTTGCCCTTTCTGTTTGGAACATTCCCTGCCTGTAGGCGCAGTTGTGGTGGCTCCTCGAGGCACCTGCGCAGTCTGATGTCAGGGACTGATGGCTGGTGTTTGCCCTGCAATAAAATAATGTACCTGTGGCCACATTGCAAACCTCTATTTGCATCTCAGCGCATGATGTTTTGTTCTGTAATGCTGTGTGTAAAGACTGACTTGAAGGCTGGTAATATATTTTTTCAGAAAGTCAAATTTAAGGTATTTTTAAGTGTTGAAATCCCTCCATAAGTGAGATTCTGCTTTTCTATCTGCAAACCCAGTGTTGGAATATACAGAGCTAACAAAGGCTGCCACAGGCAAGCACAGCCTGTTTAATATGAAACCAAGTCTCCCATATACTCTCCAGAAATTAATCTGGGAACAGTTTAATTTTGGGGACAGTTTCGTTTGGGGTAGAGAAATGAAGAATTCCAGGGAATTCAAAAGCAAAATACAGCTCTCTGCTCTGAAGTACTGGAAGCAGTGCTGGTGATGTGTCAGTCCAAGGTGGAGAAGGGGAGAGAAAGAGCTTCTGGTAATTCCAAATAAGTTCTCTTTACTTGGGAACGTTTTTTATATGGCAGACTGGTTACTTAGGATAGGTAAATGTTAACAAAACAAGACACCTGAGTGCATTGCTAAGGACAAAATTAATTACTAAATGTTACTTTTAAACCACAGCCCCTCCTGCCTGCCTGAAGCAGCTGTTGTGGTCCTTCTCTTACCCCTGGTTTTTTTTTTTTTTCTCAACCAGGGATTTTCCCTATATTCTATACAGTTTTCCTATGGTTGGGTATAAAGACATGAAGAATTGATAAAAACTATCTTTTTGAAGGTAGTGAAAGGTCTGGAGTCAGTCTGATGAATAGAGGGGATAACTTGTAACGAGGAACACACAGTAGTGTCAGAAGTGTTGTAAATTTTCAAAAACTACTTTTCATCTTCATCCAACCATGATTCAAATAAAGAACATTCCCTTTATGGCCTGCAGCACAATACAAGTTGTACTTTGCTGGCTTTTGGTTAAAGCAATGAACATATTATTTGAATTTTAGGAAAGAGAATTTGAAAACTTACTATATTTAGGATTTAGTCTGAAGTTATAAGAATAACTAGTGGCTTTTGCTGTTGTTGCATCTCTCAGTGTTCATGTGCAAAGAATGACGTGATCAGAGTTGTCACTGGGAACATTTAGTTTTTCACGCGGAGTATTTTTGGGCAGCTCGTATTTGGAGGAACACGGGATGGGCTATAAAAGAACTAGTCGAAGAAATTACCATTTATGTTAAAAGGTCACAAATTAAAATTGTTTGGGCGCTGTTTCTGCAGTTAGTCTCTGCAAAAATAGGAGGTGAATGCAAACCAGTAAGACTAAAGCATTTCTCAAGGTAAATGTTTGACTTCTGGGATTCTTATAATTTAATGTAGTTGTGTCTTTTTGGAGACTCAGGAACGAAATGGTTTTAGGCTAATTGGGATTTAGACACACTTAGGGGAAATCAGATGTCCTGTACATTCAGTCCTTCTGTCACTTGTTGGCATATAACTTGTGCTAGGTGAGAGTTACTTCCATGGATTTTGATTGAGGGGAAAAAAAATTATTATCTTTGGATCACTCAGGAATTGAAGTAAGAATACTATACTTTGGTAACTTTTGGAAGCTCTATGAGAGCTCTTTTAAAATTTTATTATTTTTGGTATTATTTTGTTTTCATGGGGTTTCTGCAGACTATGGAATTTCCAAGCCTGGACCAGGCTTGCTTTTACAGTGCCTGGCAGTGTAACATCAGGTGGTGTAGTGTGACTTGTGTGACTCAGGATGATTGTAACCCACACCTCTTCTCCTTCCCACAAATAATTTTTTTTTTTTTTTTTTTTAAACTCTGTGAGTGTTGCTATTTGTAATGAGGACTGATGGAACATCAGTCCTTTTCTGTATGTGAGGTATGTTTGAAGTGATGTGGTAGGCTGTTGCTTAGGTCAGTGTAGACCCAGCTCTACAGAAAACACTGTTTAGGAAGCTGCATAAGCTTAGATGCTGCAATACGAGTTTTGGGTCTAGATTTTATGTTCTAATAGAGACTCAACAGCCTTGAGGAGAAGACTGTCTCTGTGGCTTGTGGTAGAAATAGGTAACACTTCCCAGTGAGGCAACTGGCACACTCTACGTCTACTTTTTCCAATCCATGCTGTGGGGTTTAGTGCTTTTTGCAGTCAGGGCAGGCTACTGTGAAACTTATTTGATAAATTTTAGTTTGTCTCATCATCACAATACTTTAAGAATAAGAGAGATGACTTAACATTGGGTGACTTCTTTCTGATGCAATAAGCAACCCTTGCATTCTGTATCAGTTTTGGAAACAAGCCAGTGGGGTGTGTGTATACATATACATGTATATATTTCACAGAATTGGAGAATGGTTTGGGTTGGAAGGGACCTTAAACATCAGATATATATATATATATTTAAAGTATAGAACATCCTGAAATAGGTACAATGGAATCCTAGTTATACAAACAAAAAGTGCGCATCGAAGTAGTTGTGTATTCAGTGTTAGTGATCTGTAT